GAGTGAATGCTGGTTTCAGGTCTTCTTTTGAGCTCTCATTAAAAGTAACATGAAAAGTGGTAATTTAGACAACATATTCCAGACGAGCTGAAACTTTGAGGAAGAATTCTCAGTAGAAAAAAAGAAATTTCTTATCTGATGTGTGTTGTCCTATCATGCTAAACTTTGTAATTTAGTACGAGAATGATTTGAATTGATAGAAGAAACAATCAGAAAAAATTTATTTTGGGAATTGTTATTTCATTCAAATAACAGGTTTTACATGGCGCGTTATTTGAGTGTGTTTGTCTTTTAACCCCAGCACTCCACACCCCCAAGTGCGTATGGGTCCGTCAAAGCCTACACCAACTTTGATGCCGAGCGGGATGCTTTGAACATCGAGACGGCCATCAAGACCAAAGGTGGGCCACACGTTTGTCCTCTTGTCAGGGTCTTGTTGAGGCCTTTCTGGTTGTCTCTGTATCCATACGTTGGTCTTTTGAAATTGTCATGGAGCCTTAATGGAGTAAATATAGACCTAGCCACCCCCCACCCCATTACCCTGCCTTCCTTCCTTCTTTCCCTCCCTTTCTCCCCTCTTTCCCTTTTTGTAGAGAAGAAAATCTAAAGCATGAGATGGTATTTTAGCCAAATAGCATAATAGAAGCAAAACAGGCAAAAGAGCAAGGTCTAGTCCCATATCCAGATCTCGCTTTGGGACTGGCTCTTCATGGAGGTATCAGCTCTTCTTCTATAAGAAAGAAGTTGGTCATGGTGGTTCCTGAAAATCTTTCTTGTTCTGAAGCCCTTTGAATTTCATTACATTTGATGGGAAAATTTGCTGCTTTGCTCTTCGATTGATCTAATGAATGAAAAGCCAGACTTTTTTTTTTTTTTTTTTGCCCTTAAGACATCTTCCTCCTTAGGTCTGGAGCTGGTATAAGAAAAGCTGTCAGGGTGAGTAAGGAAGACCAGGAATCAGAAACCCTCCCTTTCTAAATAAAGCAAACAGAGCATTTAGTTGGTTAGGGTTGAGTAAGAACTCGTTTAGGTCATCCTATTGCTTTCTGGTTCTACAAAAGTCGATGTTCCGGCTTTGGGGGGCTTATTGTCAGTAAAGTAGTATTTGGAGTGGCCCCATCCTGCAAATTCTGAAAACATTGCCGTTATGGTGGTGACTTTTGTGATTCTCCCTTTTCACCCCTAGACAGAGCATTTCCTTCATCCTGAGGCTAGAGTGGGAAACAGATGTGACCCAGCGATCAGAGCAGCTGCTGGTTCATGCCCCTGCTGAAGAGCCATGGCATGTTTTTCTCATGTTCTAAGTTACTGATGCACTTTCACAATTCATATACACAGTTGACTGTAAGACTGAGAAGCTGCAGCCGGAGTGACCTGGCAACATAAAGCTAGGGTGATGTGTGTCCTGCTTTATGCTTGCATATTTTCTTTCTTTCTTTCTTTTTTTTTTTTTTGAGACAGAGTGTTGCTATGTCACCCTGAGTGGCATTATTGTAGCTCACAGCAACCTCAAACTCCTAGGTTCAAGCAATCCTCTTGCCTTAGCTTCCCAAGTAAGTGGGACCACAGGTACCTGCCACAAAGCTAGGCTCATTTTTCTATTTTTAATAGAGACAGGGTCTCGCTGTTGCTCAGGCTGGTCTTGAACTCCTGAGCTCAGGCAATCCATGCACCTTGGACTCCCAGAGTGCTAGGATTACAGGCGTGAGCCATTATGCCCGGCTTTATGCCACACATTTACTAATAGTGCCCCTATCACTCTCAGAACTGTCTTATTTTGGAGAAAAAATTGCATCACCACTTTTCCTAACACTCTTTTTTTTTTTTTTTTTTTTTTTGAGACAGAGCCTCAAGTTGTCCCCCTGGGTAGAGTGCCGTGGCATTACAGCTCACAGCAACCTCCAACTC